AGGTGACCGAAGATGAACTTTTACTTCTCAGTTCAGGATCAGGTACCCCTCCTAACAGAACAGCAAGCCCACTCTGGCCAATTGTCTCCTTGGGTAAAAGCAGTCAGACTCCCGGAGACTCTGGTCTTTTTAAGAGAAGCTAGGAATCCGGATGTTCGTGTGCTAGCCTCTGATGTGTAAATTCACATCCCTTTTTAAATTTAATTAAAGGGCAGTCTGTATATCTATATATATCCCCCCCTCACTCCCTGCCCCATTCTCCCCCATACTACCCCCTTCCCCACTACCCCACATTAGCCTGAATCCTGATTCTGTAACAATAACTTGCCTCCAGGACACCAAGCACATGTCTCTGCTGCCTCACCTGGTCACACCTTGCTCTGACATCCTAAACTCCTGAGAAACGTTTGGGTGCACTAGATGGGGACTCAAAAAGTCTCGTAGCTCAGACCCTGGCACTATTTTACTGGATGGTCTTGGACAAGTCATTTCACTTATCTGAACCTCCCTTCATTCATCTGTATAATGGGGATTCCTTTCCTCACCAAATTTTAATTGAGCGCCCATTGTGTGGACACCAGGGACTGTGCTCAGGGGTAAAGGAGTCCCGCCCATCCTGAATTCTCATTGTGAGACTCAAATGGATACACACGTCCAATGCTCAAGCAATGCAAGAGCTGTAACTCAGACGAAGCTTCCTTGCTCTGAAGCGATGAAGACCACAGATGTCTTCATGGCTGACTCGTCCCATCTCAGGGCTCTGATTCTATCTACACAGTCATCTCCACAGAGAAATTGCCTTCCAGGTAGGCAACTGTGGGCTTAATCACAGGTCAACAGTTCCTGAAACCCAATCAGAGGAGCTTTCTGATATGCAGACAATCCACTAAGACGCAGAAGCTTCCTCCAGTACTAGTATCTCTTCCATCAGTAACCATTTACAACAGCAAATAAAAAATTATCTGACTGCTGGGAAAGTCTTCCCCTCAGAACCACCCCTGATCATCCCCAACCTGAAGTAAGTGCCCTCCTTTCCTTCTCTTTGAACTTACCAAGTTATATTTAATCCCTGTTCACTGTGTGTATCCCCTACTAGACTCTAAGTCCCCAAGGAGCAGGACCATGTCTGCCTGCTTCCCGGTAGAATCCCCACTGCCTGACACATAATAGATGTTCAGTAAATATTTACTGAATAAATAAACGAATGGGCCACAATTGATTCTGTCAGAGTCGTGGAAATGTTTAGTAGGGACACAGCAAGGTCACACCTTGGTTAAAACACCTTTGCAAAGAAGGGGAATCCAATGTCCCTTTTCTCACCAATTAGAGCTTTGGCTTTTATCTTGGAGGAACTAAGTCTTCTTCGTTTGAGTTGGGGGAGGAAAAGGTGAACAGCCCAAAAAAAGGTTTGGGGAGCGCTGAGCATTTAAATTTTTCTAAAGTATGCCATTTTAAGGTATCTCCCCATGTTTTATCACAGAGAACCTTTAAAACTTGCTAATTAGACACCGACATAGGACCCCTGTGTACAAACACAGACACATCCAAAATGCATCCAAAGTAGAGCAAACGACATCTTTTGGAACTCTTCCAATAGCCTCTGTGCATACTTTTATGTTAATGCAATGGTCTTACAGCCAAAACAGCCAAACTGCAAACACCTGGCATGCATTCTCAGAAACTTGAACTCATCAGGAGGAGCAGCCAAGATGTGAAACCCTAAATGTATTGCTTTCTTTAGTTATTAAGGGAGTACAGCACGTATCAATGAGCAGCGTCACTCCTCATCCTCTTGCAAAGTTTAATCAGGAATTCATATTTCATGTGCTTTCACCGGCACAACAATATTTATTCATTTGTTCTCTGAAGCTGCTGCCTGCAACCAGCCCTTCCCGTTGTTCACTCAGGGGAGGTGTGCTATTAACTTCGGGGAGGCCTCCTCCATCTCCAGGGAGAAGCCTGACATCTTTTGCTGGAAGGCCTTACCATTATTATTTATGGTTAAAATGCTTTACGTTGCAAAGTGGCATGCTACCTCCATCTATAACCCCTTTGTGATATAAACTGCATAGTCTGCATTTCGGAAGGGAAAACCTGAGTTGTTGCAAAGTAGAGAATTACTCAAGGTCACACGGGGGTCCTTTCCACCCTTGAGTCTTACCGATATGGCCACCTTGATATCTAAGTGTACAGTCACATCAAATATGCTAGCTAGCAGGAATTGAACACCCGGCCCTGGGCTAAAGCAGCTTGCAATGCATTAGTCCTCAACAGCTCTGCAAGACTCAATCGTATTTCTATTCTCACTTTAAAAGATGAAGAAACGAGGGCACAGAAAGTTTAATTAACTTATCCAATGTTGCCCAGCAAACCAGTGACGGAGCCTGGATGTGAACCTAGGTGATCTGACCCTAAAGCTTGCACCCTGAATTACCCACTCACAGGACAGCCTCGCTAGCAGGTCCCTAAGGTGCACTGGCTCAAGGAAGACCACATAGTGTTGTACGGGGTGGGGTTCACTCTATTTTATTCCAGCTTTTCCTTGTGCTCCCTACCAGAATGCTTCTCTGAGATGGAGCACTAAGGAGAAGGATACTGATGACTTTACACAAAAAGAATAATAGGAGGGATGAATATGGATTAGATAAAAGTAGCCCTTACTGATAGGTCAACCTAATGCAGAGTCAGAAAATGAAGATTAAAATATGGAGGGAGGGGCTCCTGGGTGGCTCAGTCAGTTAAGCGTCTGCCTTCGGCTCAGGTCATGATCCCAGGGTCCTGGGATCGAGCCCCACATCAGGCTCCTTGCTCAGCAGGGAGCCTGCTTCTCCCTCTCCCTCTGCTTGCCTGCCTGCAACTCCCCCTGCTTGTGCTCTGTTTCTCACTATCTCTCCCTGTGTGTCAAATAAATAAAACATTTTTTTAAATATGGAAGGAAACCAATTTTTAGTTAAAAAGTCAAATCTGCTAACTTTTTTCTCCGACATAAAAGAAAAAGGAAAAGCCAACAAAGCACATTAGTGACAGAGGATGTCTACCAAAATATTCTGTAACTTACCTGAGTGAAAAGTCATAAGCCCCATATTTCCAGAGTACTTCCAATTTATTCTTGCTTCTGGAGATGTAAAAGATACAGTCTCTCCTGACAGCACAGGTGTTTGATAAATGGAGGAACACCTTGTTGCTCCCTTTTCCGAAGGCATGACTCCCTTTCCTAAGTTCTTATTTGGCGTGGCAAAATGACTTCGGAAAAACCAGAAGGCTATATACCCAGTGTTAACAGCAGTGATCGCTGCTCTGATATTACAAACGATCTGTAGACTCTCTCCCTTCCTTATCCATTTTTTAACATTCTTTTTCCTACAGTGAATATATGTCACTTTTGTCAGAAGGAAGAGAAACAAAGAGTTTTTGTAAAGACTTTTTCATAAAGGAGTCCCCAAGTCACCCTACCTCAGCCCTCCCTTCATCGCCAAAGGAATGATTGTTTACGGACACTATAAAGGATAGACTGGCAGGCCCTGAAAACAAGGATGAAGCCCCATGGGTGATTTATTCTAGCATTTCTTACTTACACCCACTGTGGATTTAAACCCTCAAATGACAGCATTTCCTTCTCTGGGAAACCTTTCCCCACTAGGAAATCCACTCATCAGAAATATTCCAGAAATGCCCATCTTTACAGTGACAAGCATATAAAACTCTAAGCAAATTACAAGATTTCTATGAAGGAAACAAAGAGATTTTTAATCACCATGTGTTCAGTCTCACGTCGTGTTTCCATTCATTGTGGTGGCTCATAATGTACAGTAATACATTTTACATCTACTAAATGCATTCTGGGTTTTTATATCACAGTTCAGAAGAATAGCTTCGAAAATCCTTTTGACTCTTTTATTTGAAAACTACATTTGTGGAATGGGGTAATTAAATTCCTATAGTTTGATATAATATTACCTCTGCTATTCTAGCTCATTAAAAAAAAAAAAAATCCCAACCATCTTCTTCCTGCTTTTGCTAGAAATAGAATTACACCACAGATATTTCTGTTAATACAAGTCTAAGACTTTAAGAGCCTACTCCATTGTAGTTAAACCAGAAAACTCCCTCTTTTGTACATCTTTATGAAAATTAAAATGACTGCAGAAATCTTCTGTGCTTGATGAATGCATACTAGCTTACTTTGAGGAGAAAAAGAAAGAAGGGTTCAATGTCAGGGTTTTTGAATCACAGGAAGAAGTTTTCTCTAGATGAAGAGCTGGAGGATTTAGGGCCTTAAAATGACTCTAAAATTAGGAAATCAATAATACAGAACCTTTGGTGCAGTGGGATTTCTTGGGTAAAGGTAGGATCAACTACCCTCATATCTGAGTATGACGTAGATAACCGCATGGGGTATACATCACAGAAGTATTTCATTTCATTTGTTCCTCATTCAGTTTCAGGTGGTAGGAGAGTATCCTCACTTTAAAGAAGACATTGGAGGCATGAAGTGGTGATGTAATTTGTCCCGGAATACAAGTTTAGGAAGTAACCAAGCTGGTACTCTTAGCAAGAAGACAAGAGAGAGGGGCGCCTGGGTAGCTCAGTCTGCCAAGTGTCTGCCTTCAGCTCAGGTCATGATCCCAGGGTCCTGGGATCGAGTCCCACGTTGGGCTCCCTGCTCAGCGGGGAGCTGTCTTCTCCCTCTCCCTTCTGCTTGTGCTCTCTCTCACTATCTCTGTCACCATCTGTCTTTCTCTCTCTCTCTCTCAAATAAATAAATAAAATATTAAAAGAAGAAGGAGAAGGAGAAGACAAGAGATAACAAATGTTGACAAGGAGGTGAAGACAACAGGACTCTTTTGCCCTGTTAGGAATGTAAATTTGTACAGCCACTATGGAAAGTAGTTTGGAGTTTCCGCAAAAAGTAAAAAACGGAGCTACCTTATGATTGAACAGTCCTACTTCTGAATACATATCCAAAAGGAATGAAAATAGGCTATTAAAAAAGATATCTAGTGCTCACTTCAGCAGCACGTGTACTAAAATTGGGACAATAAAGAGAAGATTAGCATGGCCCCTGCACAAGGATGACATGTGAGAAAGATATCTATGCCCCCATGCCTACTGCATTATTCAAAATAGCCAAGATACAGAAACAACCTAAGTGCCCATCGATGGATAAATGCACAGAGATGTGGTATTCAACAGAACGTGACTCAGCCCTGAGGAAGAAGAGAATTCTGCCATTTGCGAGAACATGGATGGACCTGGAGGGCATTATTCTAAGTGAAATAAGTCAGAGAAAGAAGAAAACAGTAAGATCTCACTTACATATGGAATATAAAAAAGTGAAACTCATAGGAACAGAGACTAGAATGGTGGTTACCAGGGGCTAAGGAGTGAGGGAGAGGAAGAGGGCTTGCTCAAAGGGTACAAATCTCCAGATAGAAGATGAAAAAGTTCTGGGATCTTAATGTCCAGCATGAACATTAGAGTTAAGAATACTGAATTACATACTTGGAAGTCGCTAAGCGAATACATCATCACAAGAAAAAGAGATGGTAATTATGTGATATGACACAGGCATCAGCTAACTATTCACTCACATTGCGATACAGAAGTATATCAAGTTAGCACACTACACACCTTAAACTTCCACAATGTTCTATGTCAATCATATCTCAATAAAGCTGGAAAAAGAAAAAAAAAAAACTGGCACTCAGCCCCACAGAGACTAACTTTGGGTTCAGGCCCTTTCCATCACATCATACCACACCACACACTGCCCATCAGACACCCCAAAAGCAGCTTCATCAAGTGCTGAGGGACTCCAGCCGCTGGCTTGCGGTGCTCCTGCCCAGATAAAATTAAGTGGGCTCCGCACAAACTCAGCCCACAGACAGAATGAACTGCTACCAAAGCAACTCTATGTGAATGAGTCTCCAAATATCTAAAGTCGGTAGTTGGGCTTGTTTCCCCCTCATCTGCAGTTATGCAATGGCTCTCTGAAGCCCCTAGAATACAGTTTTAAATGATAAATGAAAGACTGGGGTTGCAAAAATATACAACTATTCTAGATTGCAAATCAATTTGTTTTTAACCATAGCGAACAATGTAGAGCTCGCTGGGTTGTTTTTTTTTTTTAACATTTTATTTATTTGAGAAAGAGACAGTTAGAGGGAATACAAGCAGGGGGATTGGGAGAGGAGAAGCAGACTTCCTATTGAGCAGGGAGCCCGATGCAGGGCTCAATCCCAGAACCCTGGGATCATGACCTGAGCTGAAGTCAGACAATGACTGAGCCATCCGGGCGTCCCTAGAGCTCACTTTTTAATTCCAAATTACAGTGGTGTCCTCATGATAATATAAATAGATGGCAATCCCCTCATAATGGCAAGGATGAATATATAACATACACAGAGAGAAAATAACCTTCCCAGTTCCCAGAAGAGAGCTATAGTCAGAAGGAAGCGTGCCCAGGCAAAAGAACACCAAGGGAAAACGCTCAAAAAGTTAAGTTTTATGGGGCCAGCCAAAGAAATACAGTGTTCCTACAAGGTGTTACAATTTTTCTATATGCATAGACATGGAAGTGAAAGTAATGAGTTGGGATAGATACTATTAGCTTTTAATTAAGTTACTCTTAGAAATAACATACACACACTGGTCATCTGCCCAAACATCTCAATTAAGAATGTATAAAAGTGCATTCCTTCCAGCTTTTTGTCAGCTCTGTATCAAATGATCCAAACAGCTGAACTAGTTCAAAGACTCTACATGGAAGAAATAAGCCTGGGGCTTATTTCAAGCTTTCCGTAGAGATACTGAAATGGTCATTTTTAATGTCATCCATTTTCAGAAACAACTAGAACTGGGCATAAGTCTCTTAAAAGCATATATAAGTTTCCCCCTCCCAGCCAGGTAGTCAAAGACTAGATACCAGGAAACAAGCTAATGTCCTCTCGCAGGTAGGAAAATATTAATTAGCAATTCATAAACTAAGGTTACCTTTACAAGTGCACTTCTAGTATGAATTACAGTCGATTATTAGTTTAAGACCAACTGTACATTTCATTACCACTCTCAGCATGAGAAAGTCCTGGTTGTAACTGGAAATTCAAACACACTTGATTCATGACCATCAAAAGCCCCAATCAATGAAAACTCTTTTACTTGGAACAAATAAATTATTTCTTTTGATAAAGTACAACAGAACCTTATATTATTAATTTCCTGACAATCCTATTCTGGGGGAAAAAAAAATTAAGTTGGTGACCAGTTCTCTGTTCACAGTGAATTCTACCCTTTCAAAAATCATTCTAGACCTGTATCTCCTAAACTCTGATCCTTGGAATATTAAAAGCTTAGGATGCTAATATGCGTTCCATAAAGAGACTTCTGTGGGGCAGCTGGGTGGTTCAGGGGGTTAAGCCACTGCCTTTAGCTCAGATCATGATCTCATGGTCCTGGGACCAAGCCCCGCATCAGACTCTCTGCTCAGCAGGAAGCCTGCTCCTCCCCCCCTACCGTCCACCACCCCCCAATGCCACCTGCCTCTCTGCCTACTTGTGATCTCTGTCAAATAGATAAATAAAATCTTAAAGAGAGAGAGACGTCTGCAACCATATAATATATTTCCTTAATTCTCAAGTTCACTGTTTTCACATTTTAACATTTCCAAAATGGAGCTTCATCTTACAATGTTAAAAACTGTTAACTAAATCTGTTTTCCCCTTAGAAGAAAAAAACTATTAAATTAAGGGTATATTTTATAACCAATGACCTCTTAAAATGGATGAAACATGGTAAGTTTGGAGAAATAATTTTTTTATTACCTGTAAAGATTCACCCTGCACATTACCACATTAAAGTCTCTGAAAAGTCCTACACTCTACAAAGAAAGCGGTTTTCTTGGTTTGACTCAATGTCTCCCAAACGTATTTACCCATAGATCCCTTCTTTTCTAGAACTCATAACATTTCCTGAGACTAATGTTCTGGGAACACATTCTGGGAAAGACCACTGATTCTTTTATTACCCTTGGCCAAGACTCTTTGCTCATCAGCTTTCCAAGACCCAGTGACAGGAACCTTCAATCTAAAGTGAAGGTAAACGTGTTTCAGGGTCGACAGAACTGAATGGATGACCCAAAACTCTCTGTAGAGAGAACATTCCAACTAGGCCAGAGGCCGATTTATTCTACTTGGAAACATCTGTGGTGTATTCATACTGATTGCTTTCTCCACAAATGATGCACAGCTTTGTCTGTTTTGAATGCCTTTATGACGTGAGAAATGAATAGACAGAATTGAAGCCATCTGCGTGGTAGCATGGGATGCACCATAGGATGGGATGCACCATTGGGTGAGAGACATCCCTGCACCTTGCCCAACATTTGGAAGGAAGAGAAACCGTTATTTTTCCAGAACCGGTTCCTAAATTTACTTCATCAGCAAGTTACTGTTTGTGCATGCCCATAAAATTGAATAAATTAAGTCATATGGCCACAGAGCAGGCAGCAGGATAGTTTGAGCACAGACACTCAAAAAAATGGAACCAATGACATGGCTCTAACTGATGCAAGCGTGCAACTTTAGGCCCATACCAAGTCTTAAAGAAATGCATCTCCTTCCACACAATATTTATCTGCCAATACCCTATTTATCTAGTTTGTAGAAAAAGTATTGAAATATGGAAACAGGACTGGAAGATTACCATGTGCCTTTTGAAAGACAGACTCAAGCACTGTCTAACAGGCCCACCTGTCTAGAAGGCCAACTGATTCTCTTGGACTAGTAGCATTGACATTGCATGGGATCTTGTCAGAAACGCCAGATTTCAGGACCCATTCCAGACCTACTTGATCAGAATCTGCCTCTTTGCAAGATCCGTAGGTTATTTTATAGACATTATGGTTTGAGCAGCATTTTCTGACTTCCCGATTACGACTCATTGGGGCCCGGATGTTGTGAAGCTAGATGTTCACTTGCGAAGATGGCTAAACGGCAAGTTATTTTTGTCTACTAGACATGCAAATGCTTTCTGTCCAGTAGGAAAGACACCCTTAAGGTTATGGGGGGGAGGTGCTGCCCTGTAGAATATAAACCATTTTGCACCTATTCCAGAATTCTCCTTTGGTGAAGACATGATCTCAGCCCCCCAATTTATCATCCTGCTTTTCCCTCATTAATGAGCTAAATAAACCTTTGACACGTGCTCCGCACACACTCATGACAAGCATGCTTGTAACTGTTGACAGTTTAATTCAAACCCAATCATCTCTTGACAGAGAAGGAATACTTATCTCCAGTGAACACCGCAACAGCCACCCTTTCTTGGGAAAAATCGTCAGCAAACAGTAATTAAGAACATCCGCTCTGACAGAGAGATGAATCTAGCAAGGGTTTGTCCCTCAAGGATGGTAGGTTTAATGTATAATCTAACTTCAGATACAAGGGCTGGCAACTGAGAGCCTATAGTTCTGTTCGGCCTTGCAGACATGGTGTGCAGCTGAAGAACATTTTGTTTTGTTTTTAATTTTTGGATCTGAAGGCCTTTAGGTGTAATATGTATTCTCCGGTTCTCCACAGGCTCCTATCCTCCTTATTATCGTGTATCAGGCTGTTTCACACATGTTTGCTACCTAGCTGGCCCCTGAAGGCATAGAAGTTTACACCCCTTAAAGAAGGCACTAATCTATTAAATCCATTTAAGCCAGCACTACGGTGGGAAATGGCTTGCCTGGAAATCATAGCACACTCGAAGGAGCCCTTATTGGGAATATTTTTGCATATCTATCATATGCAGACCCTGGACAGCTATGACAAGTATAAAAAGAGTGCAGCTGCCAGAACCAGTGGCCTTATTCATTATCCACCGGAGGGCAAATTATTTACAGGTATAACAATGCATTTGACATGACTTTTTTTTTTAATATTTTATTTATTTATTTGACAGAGATAGATCACAAGTAGGCAGAGAGGCAGGCAGAGAGAGAGAGGAAGAAGCAGGCTCCCTGCTGAGCAGAGAGCCTGATGCGGGGCTCGATCCCAGGACCCTGAGATCATGACCCGAGCCGAAGGCAGAGGCTTAACCCTCTGAGCCACCCAGGTGCCCCATAAC